TTTTAATACACAGACCTATAAATGCACTTGACTTTATGATACTGGTGGTAACTGGAGCTAGTTACCCCTTGGTTCTGTATATATTTCATATTTGCTCTATTAGTTACGCATAGACATGATAGAGGTGTGTCTATAAAATAAATGCAATTTTTATCTTATCAGCACTTTTAGTTGAGATACGCTTCTAATAGAACAAATACAATATATCAAGATATCTGAATTGTTTGTACCATATTTTCTTTATTGAAAGCACATTCAAGGCATATTTTAATTGATCTTAGCATTATTTGCAGTTTTGGGTTTATGTAGATGCGCTTCCAATAGAGCAAATACGGTAACTACTCGGCGAGTTATTTTATATCCCTTTTGTAAAACTTTCTGACCATCTTTTATAGCAAGCGTTGGTTCATACACTCACTGGAATGCTATATCAATAATTTTCCAATACCATAATTGCTATTTCATATATTGACATCTTATACTGTGTGTATTATGCCTCATATTCATCAATTTTAATGCAAGTGTTATTGTGTGTCTACAACCCCCCCCCCCCCCATAACTGAATTTCAGTTCATTGATTGAATGCCATCCTAGCATCCAATTTTTCCCCAGATGCTGATTTTAGCAGAATTGGTTCAAAAACAATACATAATGGTTTACATAATTATGTTTACTATAATTGGCTCAAATAATATACATATACACTTTGTGGTCCAAGCCAGTATTACCAACTGGCTGAAATAGTGTATGTATATATGTCATTTTAAGATCTCGGCCAGTATGACCAACTGGCTGAAATGATAAATTTCTTCCCATCTAATCAATTCACAATTCCTAACTGGTTTATAAATGGTTGAAACATTTAGACATTTTGATATGAATCTAATAGAATTTTTGGCACTTCCTGTTTAATTGATAATCAATAGACAAGCGTTTATTGAAGTGGAACCATGAATGTGATAGTGTCACAAAGAATGAAAAGATTGTGGCCATTCTTTTCTCCTGGTTAAAAAAATGATTGGAGCAGCATGGGATATAAAAATTGCCCACGTCAGTTTGCATTACCCGTGTGTATTCATAGAGTTCAGTTTTAACTGTAGATACAATGCTCACTAATTTATGATCACCTTGGCGGCACATTCTCATTTTCAGAAAAGGTGTAGATGAATAAAATCACCTAAATAACACAACTGTAGTACCAATTGTTGCTTTCTGCTTGGATACCACATACCACCATTTTGCCATTTAATGTACACGCTTTACACTGATATTAACTTTGTTTCTGTGTTCTTTTTTTTCTTTCTCCATGACAATTGTCCACTTTATTTCCTACATTTAGCTGCAGGTAAATTAATTTAAACAAGACAGACCATCTGTAAGCCTCAAATAATTACAGAGTGTTCTGATGGAAAATTGGAATTATCATTTAATAAAATTGATAACGCATAATACAACAGACTTGTCAAAAGTTTAAAGAAGGCTGAACAAATATTTTTTAACTGCTCTCAGTACATAAAATCACAACAACAAACATGCGTGTATGTATTTGTGACTTGTGTTTGGTCCTGTCGTTGCCTCGCATAATAGTCAACATTCTGTACCAACAATTGTTTTCTTGCCTGTTATTTTTAATAAAACAATGTTGGTGGTGTGATCTGTTGTGTTCAAGTCACAGTGTGAGCCAGATAGAAACCATAAATCTCTGTGCTTGTCTTCATGAAATGAGATTGTGTTATTGCTAAGCAACTTTTCTGAGATTATTAAAAAAAGGGGCATGGGCAATGAACTAATAGTCATAATCCCAATTTGTCTCTTCAGTTTTGTTATTCATTGGAAACTAAATTTGCTCCTTAGTTAAATTGAATTTTGTACTTTATACAAACATAGCCTTTCTGATATATCATAGGGCTTTCAAATTTTAACTATGCATGTAATTGTAGCCTCACATGTACTTTCAAACCACTATACTTCTCAAAATATGAATTACAAATATCAGTGGATTATTAAAAAGGCACAATAATCTCATCTTTTGATTTCAATTTTATCAAGTATATTATTGTTTCATTGAATTCTACTACCTGAATACAAGAATTCAGTCATGATAGTAAATGGTACAGTGTTTTGACTATTATGGAAACAGTAATATATTTTGTTCTGTAGCTCAACATCAATTAATTTTAAACTCTCATCACACCCCATAGCTTGCAAGGTTCCACCATGTCACTATATGTTAGATGCTAGTGTCGTGTATATGTCGGTTACAGCTGTTTTAGCATAGGGTGTAATGGAATAATTCAACAATAATTATTCTGCCACTCCCAGGCCGACCATGTGTTTATATTAAAGTTAAAATCTCGGAGAACTAGTCTTTAGTGTTGAAAGTTTGTTTTCATGTGTGCTGTTACAGTGTATGTGTGATCTGTACATTGCATGACTCCATGTCTCTAGTGCCAAGTAAGCCTTGTTTGTTTAATATACTGGATTATAATTGATTTCACATCAGAAATCCGCTAATTTATACAATATTATTAAATAAACACCTTCCTTTTTGATCAGTGATGAACCCCATCCCCTCGGCATTTCATGCAGTGATGACTTAATACACTCACTACTCCACTGCATGCGAGATCAAAATATACTGCCCCCGGTATTTATTCTAGACTTGCATACATGTACAGTCTCTTGTTTATTTTTGAGTGTTTTTTTAATAAAATAAAATATGGGAATATATGAATAGTGAAAGCCGGATTTCGCGGTAACCTGGCTTTCGCCATTCACACACTCCCATGTTATTTTATTTTGTTGAAAATACACCAAAAAATAAACAAGAGACTGTATTATGCAAGTCTATTTTTATGCTGAAAACCATGATACTATGGAAGCCACATTCTAACATCAAGCTGTGTCCATGCATCACTTAATTGAGTACCATTATTCCAGGCTTTACTCAGGTAGTAGATTATACTAGTAAAGCATACAGACTACTAATGCATGCATGCATGGCTTTAATACATACACGTGTCTATCTGTCTTCTGTTGTCTCATTCATTGATGACTTGCATGCTACGTGTGTATACAGGATCCAATGTTTCCGAAGATGAGATCAGGCAAGCTGCTGAAAAGTTTGAAGAATCAAAAGAATTAGCCGAGAGTGGTATGCAAAATCTCCTGGAAAGTGATGTAAGTTGATTGATCTCAATTTCTGATTATACATTGTGTAGTACAATGCAAGTGTTAAATATACTGATTGCAGGGATTTATTTAAACAGGGGTGCCACGGCCATGCACCCCCTTACCCTGGGGAGCAGATCCTCTAGCAACCATTAAATTCTGATTGACCAGGGATCACATTTGGCCAGAGTCTTCAAGTATGACCTGTCTGATAGTAATTTTGGTCCCAAGGAAGCCATAGAATGCTCTATTTTAACTTAGAATTATCAAAAACTCCACACCCTGGTAGGGAGAACCCTATCTCTTTCTCACTCTTACAGTTTTTTTTCTAGAAAAAAACACTGACTGATTGTCATAGTATAACTAATCGTGACATGCATTATGTGTGATTTTTTAATTATCCAACACAACATCAGGGTTAAAAATTCACTAAAGTCA